TAAGCCCAAAATAGCTATATACTTTGGCCATGCTAATAATCTAAATTTAGCTATTAAGTAATTAAATATTTAAATATTAAATTAGACATTTCAAATCAAAAGTGTAGTTTATTATATCATCAAAGGCATTTTCCACAGCTTGTTGAGAATTGAATATTTTTCCTTGCAAGAAATGGTTCAAAGTCTGGAAGAAGTGCTAGTCAGTTCGTGCAAGGTCTCATGGGTGACAGAGTTTCCAAGTCCAGTTTCTGTGGTTTGAGCAGCATTGGTTGTGCCACATGTGGTAGAGCATTGTCTTGTAAGAGGATTGGCCTGTCTCTGTTGACCAATCTCATCAGCTTAATTGTAAGCATCATCATCATTTTACCCAACAGGTTGCAGTAGACCTCTACTGTAATCCATTGACCAAGTTACATGAAGCTGTAGTGGATAATATCACTGCTGGACCACCAAACACACACCATTAGCTTTTTCTGATGAATATTCAGTTTTGGACTGTGTTTTGGCACTTCATCTTTATCCAACCGTTGTGCTGAGCACTTGAGATTGTCAAAAAGAATCCATTTTTCATGACATATAACAATACAGTATAGAAATGGTTCACCTTTATGTTGTGACAGCAAAGAAAGGCAAGCTTTGAGACAATTTCTACTCTGATGCTCATTTAATTCATGTGGTACCTATCTATCCACCTTCTTTACCTTGCAGATTTGTTTCAAATGGTCTGATATTGTTGGAATAGTACGTCAAACCTTGGTGCTAATTCACGCATAGGTTGTATACGTAGGTTGAGATAGATTTGCTTCCACTACAGCTTTCAGTTTATCATTATCTACCTTGGTGTCAGGTTGCCCACATGGCTCATTTTCAAGATTAAAATCACTAGAACAGAACTTCTCAAACCATCGATGTACTGTGTGCTCATTAGCCACATCCTTCCCAAACACTTTGTTGATGTTTTGAGCTATCTGCACTGCATTGGTTCCACGACAGAACTCGTATTCGAAAATAACACTAATTTTTTACTTAACCATGGTTTCACAAAAATTGCTCAGAGATACATACTGTCAAACTTAGTACTTAACAAAATCAGACATTTTATACTTAATAACCTAATAAATGGATTACAGTATTTTTATCTTTAAACTGTTAGGATTTTAAATATGGAGTTGCAGTTTAGTTTCTAAAATATTGTTCTCTTTATTTAGAAACTGACCTTTTAGGTGGTACAGTTTTACTTCCACAAGGACATTGAGAATGGACTATGTTAAGGATTACCAAGAAGTGAAGTCATGTGTAAGCTGTACATACTTAGGCCTATTTGGATTTATTTGGGGGAGATTCCCAATGGTTTGTCAAAGAAATTCTAAAGTTTAAATTCAGTCTTTCTGCTGAACATGAAAGTGGTCCAGATCTTATTCAAAGATGTCTGTGACTTACAGCCTCAGACAACTGTGGTCATTCAGCACTTTTTAGAACATTATCTCTAAATTTTGACTCTGACTCATTTAAAACAAGACAAAACAAACCAACCCTCTGTATGTCTTTCTGCCCGATAGTAATGTTGCTATATAAGTTGCAGCATCTTTTATTTTTAGGATGTGAAATTTAATTAAAAGAAATAGCTTATGGTCCGGTTTAGAATGGAAATAGGCTGACCTAAAAAGAGATGAGAAATCGTGATGCTTATAATCTTCATTTAGCTGTAGATGTAGGAAATGCAGTCTCTAAAATATATAGTTACTTAATGGTTACTCCAGATAAGTTTTTCAAAATATTCTAAAAAATATTTTTGTAATAATAAATAATAACAGTTTACTAATCAAAAATAGATTTTAGATAGTGAAACTTGGTTAGAACAATGGCACGTTCTTAGGCCAGAGGTTCAAACATGGATATTAATTCAAAGCAGCTGGATGTAGGAACTAAGAAAAAGACAGTCCTGTTGTCCTGCTGTGGCTTTGCAGAATTCGACGTATAACCATATTTTGCTGCTTTTAAGCATTTCCCTGTCCTTTTGGCGGGGAGGGGAGAGAGACTGTGGAAATAGATGGGCTTTTGCCATCTTATGTACAAGCTTTTACATTCAAGGAAAACTCCCAGAGAGATAATGCTTCTTTAACATGAAAAGTAGACCTGTTCCCTCTGAAGTTTTGTTGTCTGGTTTATTTTCTGCCGCTTGGCTATCTTCCAGGCTGGATATTAGACCTGTCATTCTTTACTCATCTTCTTCCATGGTTCACACCTAGTGGTCTTTAGTTATGTTTCAGGATTACTGTATATAAACAGGGTAAAGGGCAGCATGAAAGCATTAGGAGTTAATATACTTAAAAAAGCAACAATACAGCCAAAGCTAAAACATATTAGGGATTCTGTGGAGCCAAAAGGAAGAGGATCACAGGCACTTCTAACCAAAGGGCTCTGGGTCACCTGTGACACCCCCCTCTCATAAGTCAAATATCCCACTGTTGGTATGAGCAGGTTTATTGTCAGGAAGTTTTTATCTGCTCATGTGTGTGTGGGGGGTGTACACACATGCATACGTATTATATATTACAATGACATTCCGAGCTCTGTTTCAGATTCACTAAGAATCTCCAAATAAATAAGGGAACTCTCTATCTTGTCACTTGTTACTGTTCTTTCCATAAGAGATGAGGAAATCCCCCTTGGACTTTTGTGAGACTTTTTGAGTGAAGTTTGTGAATGAAATAGAGAATATTTTAGAAATTTGAGGTCTCTGTGGGAATTTCCTTGGTCTTTTTTTTTTTTTCATATTCATAACAAAATGATAAATGATGAAACTGATAGCACTGGAAGAGTTAATGGGGTTTTTGTGTTAGATGCCTTAGAGGAACAGATGGAGTGCCTGCAGGTGGGAAGCTAGTGTTTAAACAAGGGAGGGCTTTTGTACACTGGGATGGATTTTTGAGGATAGCTGGGTACTTGACATTTTGGGGACTAGAGTAATATATTTACTAATGGACACAGTAAGAAGCGGAAGCCAGAGCATATGTCAGGAAGGGAGTTAACAGGCTGCCAACAAAGAGGAAGAATGTGGCAGCTAAAATAAACCAAGGGTAGATGAAAAGTGAATAAAATGATACTGAGATACATAAAGGCCTTAAGAAAGTAAAAAACCTCAGTAATGAGGAAGTTAGCTTGGAGACACTGATATTGTTACCTTCATTTGGGAAGTATTCATGGAAGAATAGGGAAGAAAATAAAGGAAGCAACTGTGAATTACCACCTTGGGCTTTTGCCAATATGCATATGAGTGAAATGTGAAGTGAAAATCAGGTTAAGTCTTCAAGTCACATAGGCAGGAAGCCAATAAAGAACGTTGAGATGATAAAAAAAAAAAGCCAATACTAGATGTTACCATCAGACAGAAAGTAGGACAAACAACGTCAGCATATCTTCTTTGTGTTTATACGAGAACGTTTCTATGTGCTTTCTTTCTTTCACCATTAGGTCTTAATTTTCTATAACATTGGTTCAGTAAAACAAAACAAAAACAAGCAAGCAAACAAAAGGTTGCCTTGGTTATGTTGGAACACAGCCCTTTTCCTCTTGTGTCTTTGGCTCCATGCAATGAGTTTGCCAAGTCACCTAAGGACCAAGCTGTATCTTCATATGGCATGGGGTAGTTTTGTGCACTGTGGACCTCAGATTGTGTTAGAGATTTGTGAGATATTATTTATCAAGACCCTACCAAACCAGCCTGAGCAAGGGTGAGACCCTGTCTCTATAAAAAATAGAAAAAGTAGCTGGGTGTTGTGGCACACACCTGTAGTCCCAAGATACTCAGGAGGCTGAGGCAGGAGGATTACTTGAGCCCAGGAGTTTGAGGTTACAATGAGCTATGACAATGCCACTGCACTCTAGCTGGGGCAACAAAGCAAGACTCTGTCTCAAAAAAAGAAAAAAAGAAAAAGACCCTACCAAAGTGCTACATAAATCTAAGGTGGTTGTAATAGTGTAACAATCTCTTGTATTTGTGGATGACTTTAGAGATTACAGATATTCTTGTTTGAGCTTTAAAATCTATTCTGCAACTTGTCAACAATTGCCCCTCTGCCCTTTTTTTGGGTATGTGATTAACCAAGATAAGAATTAGAAGAGAACATTTGTAAATTTTATTAATGCTTTTTTAGGAGAAAAGCAATGCAATAACATGAAGTAGCACCCCCCCAAACATAAAAGGCACAAAGAGGGTGCCATACTTACTGCTCTTTAAAGTATAGTTTTAGAAAGGTCTACTTAGTTCATGAACCCATTGAGAACTGGATTTTTAAAAGTATGGGCCAAGCGCAGTGGCTCACACCTGTAATCCTAGCAATCTGGGAGGCCAAGGTGAGAGGATCACTTGAGCTCAGTTCGAGACCAGCCTGAGCAAGAGCAAGATCCTGTCTCTACTAAAAAGAAAGAAATTAGCCAAGCAACTAAAAATAGGAAAAATTATCCAGGCATGGTGGCATATACCTGTAGTCCCAGCTACTTGGAAGGCTGAGGCAGGAGGATCGCTTGAGCCCAGGAGTTTTGAGGTTGCTGTGAGCTAGGCTGACGCCACGGCACTCTAGTCTGGGCAACAGAGGGAGACTCTGTCTCAAAAAGAAAGAAAGAAAGAAAGAGAGAGAGAGAGAGAGAAAGAATGGATTTCCACTCCCTCCTCAAAAAAAATTATATATATATATATAAAATATGTGAACGGAGGTTCCCACAGGGTCATCCAGTTAACATAAATATGTGAATTGGACAAAGTGCCACATTAAGACAATAGAGGATGGTGAGGTTTGAGAAAACTAGGCCATACATTCCTTACCTAAGTAAATTCAAATACAAAACATTTTTTTAAAAATAGCATCTGCAAAATACAATGATTTGAGGTAAATTTGGCCCGTAGGCGCCCCATTGTACAGTTCCAGGCTTTTATTTATTATGCCAATGCTTTTATTTATGATGTATAAATGTGGGGGTATTCTCATTTTTGCCCTAAGGCCCGACAACAAGCTCAAATACGTCACCAAATGGCAGAGGACAGCAAAGCTGATTACTCGTCAATTCTTCAGAAATTCAACCATGAGCAGCATGAATATTACCATACTCACATACCTAACATCTTTCAGGTAAGCCATTCAAACCTTTCAGATTTCATGTTTTGTTTTCCTTAGAAACACATTGTTTCTGAGTCAAGATTTCTAGGTTTGTATCTTAAGTGTTTATATAATTCCAAATTTCCACTAATTTTTTTTTTTTTTAAGAGACTGGGTCTCACTTTGTTGCCCAGGTTGAAGTGTAGTGGCTATTCACAGGCTCAATCATCAACAGCCTTAAACCTCTGGCTTCGAGGGCTCCTTCTTCCTCAGCCTCCCAAGTAGCTGGGATTATAGGTGTCATGGGGCCCAGCCTCTTCTAAATCTTTTTTTTTTTTTTTTGGCCCAGGCTGGTCTCAAAGTCCTGGCCTCAAGTGATCCTCCTGCCTTGGCCTAGGCCTCCCAAAGTTTTGGGATTACAGGCATGAGCCACTGCACCCTGCCCACTAAGTCATTTTTTAGAGCATCTAGATCAAGCATTGACTGTCAGTAAGAATGAAATATAACATTAATCTCAAAATTAATCAGGAGCCTTTGTAAAACTTTCATGGCTTATACCTGCAACCATTTTTTTTTTCTAGTCTTAAATTGTAATTCTCCAACTAATGCTGTCTTTGCTAAAGAGATGATTCTGGTTATAAAAACACCAATTTTCGGAGTCAAAGCAGCATTCATACAGTTGTAGGATTTGAACAAATGAACAAATCCAAAACAAATCTTTCTTCTGGATTTTTTCGGTTTGGTTCCTTAGGTTGTCAAAAATCGTATGAGGGCCGAGTGTGGTGGCTCACACCTGTAATCCTAGCAATCTGGGAGGCTGAAGCAGGAGGATTGCTTGAGCTCAGGAGTTCGAGACCAGCCTGAGCAAGAGCGAGACCCCATCTCTACTAAAAATAGAAAGAAATTAGCCATACAACTAAAAGGTAAAAAAATTGGCCAGGCATGGTGGCGCATGCCTGTAGTCCCAGCTACTCGGGAGGCTGAGGCAAGAGGATTGCTTGAGCCCAGGAGTTTGAGGTTGCTGTGAGCTAGGCTGATGCCACGGCACTCACTCTAGCCTGGGCAACAGAGTGAGACTCTGTCTCAAAAAAAAAAAATAAATAAATAAGAGGTATGAGAAGAGATATACACATGTCCTCCCATTTGGGAAATCTTTTATGACTTTTACTCTGGTTGTAGAAAAAATATTTGTTTCTTAGTGTCTGCACACACAGCAAACAAGAACTTCCAAATTGTAGTGGAAGGTACACTAGTTATTTCTCAGCCTGTGCTGGGTTGAGACAGTTAACTGAATACTGTGTTTTTGGTGAAGGGTAAAGTGGATCAAAGGTGGATAAAGTGTTTGGAATATACTACCAAATAGTGTTAATGATAAAAGTACCGAGTTTGGGGATTCTTACTGAAATTGAGTTAGCGTCTACTGTAAAGTGTACATCTGGCAGCCTAACGATTTATAAGATATGTGGACAGCTGGCTGATACAGAGGCACAATAAACTCAGGTTGCTCTAACCCTAACCGCTTTCTCCTCCTAGAGAATTTGTTAGAGGTAACAGTGTTGCCTAAAAACAGCTTCCTTAAGTGACAGTGGACCAAATTTATTTTATACAAAATCTAATGTTACAGAAAATACAGGAGATGGAGGAAAGGAGGATAGTGAAAATCGGAGAGTCGATGAAGACGTACGCGGAGGTGGATCGGCAGGTGATCCCAATCATCGGGAAATGCTTGGACGGCATAGTAAAGGCAGCTGAATCAATTGATGAGAAAAATGTAAGTATTGTCGTTTGGGCTTAATTTACAACTGTTTGTGGTTCCATTATTTCTCCCCCTCCCCTCTCCATGCTGCCCCCATTTAATTGTCTCGTGGGAGGTAGGTGCATTCCGTGCTCACAGTACATTTCAATACTGGCCACACCACTGGAGGGTTCTTTGATTCAGCCTCCGTTTTTTGTTTTTTGATTTTTTGTTTTTTTGGACAGAGATCTGCACTTTGTTGCGCGGACTAGAGTGAGTGGCATGGCGTCAGCTTAGCTCACAGCACCTCAAACTCCTGGGCTCAAGCATCCTGCTGCCTCAGCCTCCCGAGTAGCTGGACTTACAGGCATGCAGCCACATGCCCGCTAATTTCTTTATATATATATTAGTTGGCCAATTAATTTCTTTCTATTTTATGTAGAGACGGGTCTCGCTCTTGCTCAGTGGTGGTTTCGAACTCCTGACCTTGAGCAATCCGCCCGCCTCAGCTCCGTCCAGAGAGTAGGATTACAGGCGTGACCACCCGGCCAGCCAGCCTCCGTGTTTTGGATTTAGCTCTCTAATTCCTTTTTCGGAAGAACGCATTTAAGTGGTAAATTGTCCAAGACATTACAGAATTAAATTGAAGTGTTTTCTTGTCATTTGGC